TGGAAAATGTTTAGAAGGGAACTTCGGTTGATTTCTTTTTTGGAAATGGGTTTCTATGTTTTTTTTTGCTTCTAAGAGTTCCATTCTGCGCTTGTGGGGTGAATTTAAGCATTTAGTGTTTAAGGAAAATACGTTAAGTGCCATTACAGTTATGTGCAATATTCGTAGTAAAACGCTTACAGAACAGAGGAGTGTTCAGGTCCATGAAGTATAGATAGTGTCTACTGTTGTGATGGTAGATCGCCAGGTACATATCTGGTCGCCTATGTGTTTTGTGGGGTGTATCTTGTGTGGTTAAATAGTCATCAGCGAGCTAATTAATAAGAGGTTATATTCTCATTACATTCCCTCAGACGTGCAAAGAAGAAATCATAAAAACGGGGGAAACAAAAAACAAATAACCAACTATATACAAGGATGGTGTCTCTAGATTGAGTCTTAGCCATAACTTGGTTAATAGGCCAAAAGAAGCCCATGTGGGGGGGAGAGAGCCCATTCTATGCCTCTTAAAGAGGGTATTTAAAATATAAATGGGGTATTTTTCGATCTCTGGTCGAACATAGTTTGCGATCTCATATATGGGACTCGTGTCTTGATGATGGGGCCCAGGAATAGGAGCCCCAGCAGCAAGCCACCCCATCTGTATAGATCAAGCTTAGCGACTTTATCCAAAGACAATAACAAAAACCTTTAAGTAAGATTGGTAATTCGTGCATATAGACACCATGACAATGACTCTTTTTGCCAGTTCTGGGTCAGCTTCCTCAGGGATTTGGAGGCGTATCGATGAGAGGAGGATTTGTTGACATTCGCCTCTACTGGTAAGTTCCAAACCGCCAAAAGTTTGTCTCCGTCTTCTGGTGAGAGTAGATGATGTTCCGTGCCATTCCGTCGTATTATAAGCCTCGTGGGGAAACCCCACTTATAAGGGATGTCTGCTGCACGTAGTGCCTTAGTGATTGGGATGAAGGACCTCCGCGTTGCTAGTGTGGCTGCTGAGAAGTCTGTAAATAGCTGAATTTTGCTATATAGTCCTGGAAGCGACTTTAATTTCTTCGCTGCTTACATTATAGCTTCTTTCGTTGATTCGGGGGCATGGCTAACCGCCGGACGAAATGGACGCTTAACCCCTTAAGGACACATGACATGTGTGACATGTCATGATTCCATTTTATTCCAGAAGTTTGGTCCTTAAGGGGTTAATCCTGAGCTCCGGCATCTGGGCTAACAATCCAGCGCCATCCTAGCACACAGAAAGCGGGAAAAGCTTAAAATAGCAAGATGTCACAGCCTAAGGCAAGAAAGACTGCCTCTAAAGCCGAAAAACTAAATGCCAAAAACCAAATCAACCTGTGGGTGACAGTCAGGCGGCCAACCAGGATGGCGGAGAGGAGGCACAAAATGGCGATCTCTCACCAACTACTTTGAGCAAAGAAGACACGCTCACTCCAAGCCACCTCACGAAAGCACTGGATGCTCTATCGCACAAGCTCATCACCGCTTGGCAACACTCCATGGACTCCCTGCGCAAGGACGTCAAGGAACTAGGCCGCAGAACGGCACACATGGAATCCAAAATGGACGACTTCGCGACGGCTCACAATGATCTGGCTGATCATACGGAGAATATGGCAGACAAAAAAAAAAATCGCTCCTGGAGCATAAGCTAGCTGACCTGGAAGACCGATCGAGGAGAAACAATCTCCGGCTACGAGGAATGCCAGAATCAGTGACACAGGCAGAACTACCAGCCTATGTCAGAGGCCTGCTTCAGGCCTATGGCCCAGAGGTACCATCAGACATGCTCTTAGTAGACCGAGCACACCGGGTCCCGCACCCGCGCCACTTAACCGACACCACGCCAAGAGATGTGCTCATTCGCATCCACTACTCTCACATCAAGGAGCACATCCTCCGTGAAAGTAGGAACAAAAGCAGACCTCATGACGATTTCCCCACTGTTCAACTATTCACAGACATGTCTGCATCCACACTCCGACGGCGGAAAGACTTTGCTCCAATAACCGACGCCCTCCGCACAAATGGCATAAGGTACAGATGGGGATTCCCCACCAAATTGCTAGCACACAAGGACGGTAGCTTTAAGGCCATTATGTCACCGGAAGACGGACTTAAGAAACTTAAAGCTTGGGGCATCACCATGCAAGAAAACACCGACACAGACAACACGCAAGTGGGGAGACTCCGCCTAGAGTGGATGAAACCAGCCTCCAAACGCTAAAATCGGACGTTGGTCTGGGGAGAAAACCCGCAAGTATTCTGAGCCGGATGGCTCACAGCACCTTCCCATGTCGCCTGGGCCTCTGGGCCCTCATGAACTCACTAGTTACAGATGTTCTCCTCAAATGTATTGTTTATAGACCAGTTGTACATCAGAGGCAGTGAGTAGAGTCCTGAGCCTCTCGGCCTGCCCGCCCTTCTCCGCAGGAGGAGGCCAGGTGGGAGGACGCGACCAGGGGCTTAGAGGATAAGCTTATGGTCGTTCATTTGCCTCATTGCTAAACAGATATAACATGTTTTACTGTACAATGATTAT